CTCACAGTTCATGAGTCTGAGCCCCACATAGGGCTCTGTGCTGCCAGCTCGGAGCCTGGATCCTGCTTCGCATTTTGTGTCTCCCTCTCTGCCCTTTCCCACTTATGCTCTGCTTCTCCGTCTCTCTCAAAAATAAATGAGGGGCGCCTGGGTGGCTCAGTCGGTTGAGCGTCCGACTTCGGCTCAGGTCATGATCTCACAGCTCGTGAGTTCAAGCCCCACATCGGGCTCTGTACTGACAACTCAGAGCCTGGAGCCTGTTTCGGATTCTGTGTCTCCCTCTCTCTCTGCCCCTCCCCCGCTCATGCTCTGTCTCTCTCTGTCTCAAAAATAAATAAAAAACATTCAAAAAAATTTTTTTTAAATAAATGAGTATTAAAATAAATAATAAATGAATAAAGACATTTGTGTGTCTGAGTCTCAAACAGCTTACCTATGTGGGAGCTCCGGAGAGAGAGGTCAGGTAGGCGCTTACTGCAATGAGCCTGAGGTTCGTGGAGAGGGCAGGGGTGGAGAAACAAACACAGGCAGCACCGCACACAGATGGTGTTTAAAGACCAGCACCTCTCAAAGTCCGATGTGCCTACGACTCGCCTGGGGGCTTGGCTAAAATGCAGATACTAATGCTGACTTCTGAAGCTGGGTCTGAGATTCCGCATGTCTAACGAGCTCCTGGGTGACAGTAATACTGCTGGTCCATAGACCACACTTGGGAGTGGGAAAAATCCGGATCGGGTTAACGAACTGTGGCCAAAAGGTCAACTCCACCGCATGGCCTGTTTTTCCACATACAGCAAGCTAAAAGTGGTGTTTTCTTTCTTTTTTCCCTTCCCCCCAGTCACAATGGAGAACTTTACTGGACTCGGCTCAGCTCGAGAGCCTTGCAGGCCCAGCACGCTGGCCCGCGGCTCTGGGCAGCCAGAGCTGGAGGACGGGATTCCATCTGACGAGTCTCAGAGCGAGCGGTAACCCCACAACCCAACACTCTACCTAAGATTACCTAGTTGGGAGACAGGGCTGCGCCACGACGCATGAACAGATCAAATCTTTATTAAGTAAGAAACATCCAGTGAAGAGAAAACGACAATTTAATTCACCCGTCTACACACAGCGCTCTAGGGCAGATGAGTGGGGGTGTCTGGCCTGGGTGGGTAATGAGTGGGCCGGGATGTCCACGGCACCGGGCAAGCAGGGGCGAGGCCAAGGGTAGCAGACAACAGGCACCAGGACACTGAACTTTTACAAGACTGACTACTGGGGGGGGTGGCTGTCCCGTGCGTGCGTGTCAGGCTGTTCGTTTCGGAATGAGGGGGTGGTCTTGACATCGCCTTCTGTGGCTGGTGCACTCAGAGAGAGGCTACTTTGTGGGGAGGATGAGGGCAACAAGGAGACCGCAGGGGCCGCGCATCTCGGAGAAGATGAGGGTCAGGATCATGCCCATGAAGAGCAGGGGCTGCTGGGCCATGCCATGCACACCGGAGTCCCCACAGCCACCAGCCCGCTCAGGCCAGCACCCAGCTGGAGGAAACTCCTCTGGAGACTGCTGCCGTCATTCAGGGAATCAGCGACAAGGACCGCCACCACTAGCCCGTGGATAGCGATGATACCAGCGACAATGTGGGGATGATGGACTTCACGGTCGGTTCTGGCTGCATGACAGACATGGCCACGATGCTGGGCCACTCTTGGCCATGCCGTGGGCGGCACCCAGGGCGCTGAAGACCATGGCGGCCAAGGTGCCCGTGAATGTGAAAAAGGAGGTGTACTTGGGGCCATTCTTGGCCTTGAACGTGCCTGCGGGTGGGGAGAGGGTGAGCTCAGGGGGTCAAGGGGGCGGCGAGGATGGGCTGGGCACAGCAAGCGAGTGGGAGGTGCACAGTCAGGTGGCTATGAAGGTGACCCGGCTCATCAGCTGCTGCACCCTGAGTGAAAATTGCATTTTCATTTTTAAAGCAGTGGTTTAAAAAAAAAAAAAAGAAAAGGGGCGCCTGGGTGGCTTACTCGGTTAAGCATCTGACTCTTGATTTCAGCTCAGGTCATGATCCCATGGTTTGTGAGACCAAGCCCTGCATCGGGCTCTGACAGCATGGAACCTGCTTGGGATTCTGTCTCTCCCTCTCTCTCTGCCCCTTCCCCGCTCGCGTGCTCTCTGTCCCTCTCTCAAAAATAAATAAGCATTAGCCGCTCTGGAAAACAGTGTGGAGGTTCCTCAAAAAATTAAAAACAGACCTACCCTATGACTCAGCAATAGCACTGCTAGGAATTTACCCAAGGGATACAGGAGTGCTGATGCATAGGGGCACATGTACCCCAATGTTTATAGCAGCACTCTCAACAATAGCCAAATTATGGAAAGAGCCTAAATGTCGATCAACTGATGAATGGATAAAGAAGTTGTGGTTTATATACACAATGGAATACTACGTGGCAATGAGAAAGAATGAAATATGGCCTTTTGTAGCAACGTGGATGGAACTGGAGAGTGTGATGCTAAGTGAAATAAGTCATACAGAGAAAGACAGACACCACATGTTTTCACTCTTATGTGGATCCTGAGAAACTTAACAGAAGTCTATGGAGGAGGGGAAGAAGAAAAAAAAAAAAAGAGGTTAGAAAGGGAGAGAGCCAAAGCATAAGAGACTCTTTTTTTTTAAATTTTTTTTTTTCAACGTTTATTTATTTTTGGGACAGAGAGAGACAGAGCATGAACGGGGGAGGGGCAGAGAGAGAGGGAGACACAGAATCGGAAACAGGCTCCAGGCTCTGAGCCATCAGACCAGAGCCTGACGCGGGGCTCGAACTCACGGACCGTGAGATCGTGACCTGGCTGAAGTCGGACGCTTAACCGACTGCGCCACCCAGGCGCCCCCATAAGAGACTCTTAAAAGCTGAGAACAAACTGAGGGTAGATGGGGGGTGGGTGATGGGCACTGAGGAGGGCACCTGTTGGGATGAGCACTGGGTGTTGTATGGAAACCAATTTGACAATAAATTTCATATTAAAAAAAATAAGCATTAACAAAATGTTTTTTAAATAGATAACAATAAAAAAACTTTTAAAAGGACGAATATGTGACTGAGACCATTTATGGGGCTCATAAAGCTTAAAATATTTCCTCCCTGGTCCTTTACAGTAAAAGTTTGTCAACCCTGATCTAGAATACCATCCAGGGACAGGGTGTATGGCTCTACAAGAGAGAGAGGAGTTCTGAACACTAAAAAATTTTTTATAACTTCTGATCACCATGCCTAGCTTGGGGGGAGAAAATAAAAGTATAATGCACTCCATGTATGCTAATGTTTCTGCCAAGACCCCGAGCCCTGCGAAGGATGAGCTAACACAGGAGGCCACCAGGTGGGAGTGGGCAGCACTGGAGAAGAGGCAGAGAGACATTTGGGGTTGTCAGTGGGGAGGAAGACCTGTAGCGAGCAGATGACTGACTGCCTCTTTCAGTCTTTAGCTCAGGAAGAAAAAAAAAAAAGACAAAAAACAGAAAGACAGGGCAGTGGCCACCACCACTTGTGTGCAAGATCACAGAAGTACTGGAAAAATTACATGAAAAGGAAAGGCTGGGCATTCCACAGTGTTTCTCTGTACAGCAGAACCTTCTGTATTTTGGCTGAGAGAGAGAGGCACTGGGGAAGATGAGAGAAAGGGGTGGTAGCAGGATAATGACCTCGGAGCCTATAGTTTGGGGACTGCCCTGAGGGGTGTTTGGCTACAGAACCTTCTGTCATGCTTCTGCCACCCCGTGTGGAGGACTACATTTGCTTAAATGTCAGCTCCTGAGAAAGTAAATACAGCTGTCCATTCCCATCAACTCACACCCATCAATCTGGCTCGCTTTCTGCGGAGGACCAGGCTGTTTTGCCTTCAGTTGTGAACGGTCTGCCGGTTTCTCATCAAGTGTTCACGTGCATCTCCAAAGGACAACAAATAACGGCACCCTTTTTTGGGGGTGCAGAAAAGATCAAACCTACCAAAAAGCCTGTGGCAGGGTATCTGTAAAGGCAAATTGTTCCTCAATGCTGGAGGACAAATAAAAAGATAGAAGGATATTACAGAACCACCACATGCTACAAAGCAGATCCCAGAATTTCCTGGTTAGAAGGAACCTTCAAGGTCGACCTGTGTCCTTCATGCTTCCGACAAAGCTGCTTGTTAAACCTGACCAGCTAAAGGCAAAAAGCCCACATCGTGCCTGGCTTTTGACCTGGAAGCTGAAATAAATTCTTCCTCTTCTTAGTAAATAAAAAATCCTGGCAATCCAAAACAAATCTCTGCCTTTTAACCAATGAATTCCTTCCCTTCCCAAGTCCATCCCCCTCGATCACACTCCTTTTCTCAGGGACTAGAAAGTGAGTTCTTTCAGGGAAATAACTGATCTTTGCAGCACCCCACACACTGCTCATGGTGCGTGAGTCGCTGTCTACTGAAAGATCTTAGTTTTTCTGCCCCCCATGGGCTGTGATCTTGGATAAGTTACTTAACCTTTCAAAATCTCAGTTCCCTCAGTCCTATCACAGCAGGGCTATTCTGAGTACTAAATACAATGATACATGTAGGACACTTAGAATGGTGGCTGGCACAGTAGTAAGAGTTTACTAAGTGTTGACGACCACTATCATTCAATTAGTAGAAATTCTACACCACGAATCACACTACCTCCCCAAAATACACTACACCAACCTCAGCACTGACATTTCTTTGTTATGAGGTCCCATTCTGGGCTTCGCAGGATATTCACGAGCAGCCCTGGCCTCTACCCTCTAGGTACCAGCGGCTCCCCAATTTTCCCAGTTCTGACAACCAAAACTGTCTTCAGAGATTGCCAAGTGTCTCGAGGCGGGGGCGGTTTGCACAAAATCTCCTCCGCCTTCCACAGAGAACTATTGAACGAGCATATGCAAATCAGTTTTCCAGAGTAGCCACCACACCCCCTAATTTCCCACCAAACCCCTCTCCCCACATGAAGCCACTTTAGACACCACTTGCTTACCACTCAGCTGCCGTGGCGGAAACAGGTGATAGGTGCTGTAAATATCATTGGAGAACTGCAGCTGGAGCTCAGGGCTGCCCATCAGGAGCTGGGCCACCTGCTCCACCTGAAATGGTGTCTTCTCCAGGATCACAATGGCATCCTCTCCATCCCCGTCCCCAGAGGCCTCATTTACCTGGAGGCAGAGACACCATCGGTGAGCCCAGAAACAGAAACAGTAGCTCTGGGGCCTCCCGTTCCTTCTCCCAGAGCAGGCATCTCATTAACCCAAATGCTTGTGCATTCACATCTTTCTTCTCAAAGATGCAAAAGTTCTCTACTTTCTTCTGCTTCAGACTTGGAGGGCCTTTGTCAAATTCTCCCCATTGCACAGATGAAGAAATAGGTCTAGAGAGATTAAGTGACTTGCCCAAGGTCACATGAACAGTCAGTGTTGAAAAAAGAAACTAGAGGGGTGCCTGGGTGGCTCAGTCAGTTAAGCGACCGACTCTTGATTTTGGCTCAGGCCATGATCTCACAGTTGATGAGTTCGAGCTCCGCGGTGGGCTCTGAGCTGACAGCGCAGAGCCTGCTTAGGATTCTCTCTCTCTCTCTCTCTCTCTCTCTCTCTCTGCCCCTCCCCAGCTCTCTTGAGCGTTCTTGCAAACGCTTTCTCTCAGAAATAATAAATAAGCATTAAAAGAGAGAGAGAGAGAGAGAAACTAGAATCTGCGTATCCCAGTTAACTCCTAGCTCAAAGGTTCTTATGGCTAAAATCTTCAGCAAGTGCTGCAGACTGAAGACAGGTGGGGTTGAGAGAACTAGACAGAACCTTTGTAAAAAAACAAAACAAAATAAGACACAGAGAGGCATGGTAGCCCAGGCCAAGGTCCCCCTGATCCTCCCCAAATGAGAGCTCCTGCTAGGGGTTCTGAGGAATCCTAGTAACCCACCCTTGGCTGGGCCTCCTCACTAGTTCCCAGGATGGTCTCCAGTCTCTTCTCAGTCCCTTCTGTAGAGCTGAGCACATGGTATTAGGGACAGCTATCTACCAGATATTCTGCATTCTCAAAATCAGGGATAGTAACTTACATCTCTACATCCCCAGCACCTAGCTCAGTGCTGTCAGTGCATGATATGTGCAACTGAATTCGCAATTTAATAAACTGTCTCCTCTGTTAGGTCTGAAATCCTGCACACCTGGGATCCTATCTCCTACAGTCTCTACGTCGTTCCACAGATGATCCAGCAACACTGCGTTCCTAGCACCTCTAAATTCGTTCAGAGAATACAGGATGACTGGCTTGGAGAACTCGACACGTGATTTTTATACAAGTGTTAGTTACTTCTGGTAAAGGAGTTATTAAGAAAACCCTACGCCTGTTGATTTCCTTGATTCTACGAGTAAACTTGTCTCCCGTAGCACCTCCCCCCCCCCCCCGGGGGGGGGGGGGGGGGGGACACTTTTCCCCCCCGCCTCCCGGAGTGCGATTGGTATTTTCCGGCTGAGCTCGGGTTTAAAAAAAAAAAAAAAAAAAATCCGCCTCCAAGGCGATGATTGATTGGCTCACTCCAACCCAGGGTTGCCTAATGGTACCTTCCCATGGAGAAAAATGATTTTGTCCCGCGCAGACTCCCGCAGCACTTTTTTCACTCTAAAGCCGGAGAACGGTAAGCGCACAGGAGCGGAGGTACCATTCTCAACGCCCGCTTCCTTTGCCTCTGTGCTGGCAGCTTCCGCCTCCTCGGCGTCCAGTTCGCGCTTTCTCTTGCTGGGTTGAGTCGCTAGGTCCGCCATGCTTCCCGGTTGGAGCTGTGCGCCTGCGCAAACCCCAGCCGCGGCCCCGCCCTTCTCAGCGCAGAGGCCGCCGCAGCTTGTCTCTTCCGCGAGGGCGTGACGACTACAACTCCCGAAGTGCTCCGCGAGGAAGCCGGCCGTGGTCCGGGCCCCAGGGAACCTCGGAGCGCTGGTTCGTGTGATCTGTCTGCGAGGAGCGTTTTTAATTAAGGCTGCTGGCTTTTGTCCCCTCGCGCTGACCGGTCCGAGTTGAGCCTGGTGCTGAGAGAAGAGAAAGAAGACAGCGAGTCCCTAACCAGGCCGGCTAATGATGCTGCAGAGGAGGGGGCACTCGCCGCCCCGGGTGCCAGAGCTAGAAAACACCCTTTGGACTCTGTGGGTGCTTTGACACCTGACACACCGTGGGTTGGATACTGACGTTTTTATTAAGAATTATGCCAACATTGCGTAGCGTGGAAGGAATGTTTCTGAAACAGAGCTGTTGAGCCAGTCGTACTTCTTGGTCGATTTTCGATAGGAAAGCCATTAAACCATTTCCATTTTTCACCCATTTTCCACCCATTTTCATTTCACAGAAATTTTCATCTTACTCAGTGCTGAAAAGAAAGGTAAGTGAACAGGGCAGAAATGCATGTCCACCATCTTCTTTTCTACCAGGCTAGGGGCTTCTGCCTCCTGTGTTACCTAGTTTGACCGTAAGTCTGCTATGCTATTCTAGAGATGTGATTTGCAGCTAGAATATGAATCATCTATCAGAATTTCTTTTCTTTACTTTTTTTTTTCCATATAAAATTTTCACTTATAATTTCTCCCTTTTTAAATTTTTTTTAATGTTTATGTGTTTTTGAGACAGAGCGCGTGCACAAGCTGGGGAGGGGCAGAGAGAGAGGGAACGCAGAATCCCAAACAGGCTCCAGGCTCTGAGCTGTCAGCACAGAGCCCCACGCAGGGCTGGAACTCACAAAAAGAGCCCGGAATTGGGAGCCATGAAGTCTGGCTCCAGCACTGACCAGCTGTGCGACTTTGGGAAAGTCACTTACCCTCTCTAGGCTTCCATTTTCTGTGTGCCAGACACTGTGTATCTTGAACAAGACAGGGGAGATCTCTACTTTCATAGAATTCATATTCAAATGGAGATGAGGTAAATAAATATGATAATTGTAGATGATTGAGTGTTATTTATAGAATAAAACAGGACAATGTGATAGAGCCTGGGGATAGGGAGGAGATAAGTTGTTCAGGGGTGGCTTCTTAGGAGGTGACATTGAGCTGAGACTGGAATGATGAGAAGGAACCAGCCATGTGAAGTGACCAGGGAAAGTGTATTTCAGGAAGAGATGTCAGATGCTGAAGACCCTAAAGCGGTAATGAACTTGACATTTTTTTGGAAACAAATATGGCTCTTGTGGCTGGAATGTAGTGAGCAAAGAAGATATATCTATCTATATATATATAGATAGATAGATAGATAGATAGATATACACATACATATATATATATACACACACACATATATATATATATATTTTTTAAAATGTTTATTTATATTTGAGAGAGACAGAGTGTGAGCAGGGAAGGGGCAGAGAGAGACGGAGACACAGAATTCGAAGCAAACTCCAGGCTCTGAGCTGTCAGCATAGAGCCCAACATGGGGCTCGAACTCATGGACAGCAAGAGTCGAAGTCAGCCCCTTAACCGACTGAGCCACCCAGGTGCCCCAAGCAAAGGAGAAATATAAAATGAAGTTTTAGAGAGGTTTATTCATTAGAAGCAAATTCATCAACACCAATGTGATTTTGATTTAAATATCCATTAAGGTTAGAATTCCACTCCTACAAGTCCTGGCTGAAGGAAAGAATGAACTTCTAGGAAGCCTCAACCGTCAAAGGACCGATTAGAATACCAGACAGCAGAGTGCAGCAGACCTTTATGGTGGCAGCACATGTCTTCGCTTGGCGCAGAGGCATTTGTCTATTGATGATTTTTTAGATCCTCTTGTTTGTAAACATTAGAAGGCGTTGCACTGTCCCACCTAATAGCCACTAGCCATATGTAGATAGTTACATTTAAATTAACTGGATTGAGATAAATTAAAATTTCAATTCCCCTGTCATACAGCCGTGTTTCAAGTGCCTGATAGCCTCTTATGACTACTGGCTACAACATTGGCTAGCACAGATATGGATTGTTTCTACCGTAACAGAAGGTTTAACTGCTGTATTAAAAGGTTATTACTGGAAAGCCCTCATCTGTCTATAAGCATCGGTCCTTCAGTCTTGTTGAGAAAGTTCAAAACCTCTCCCAAGTCTTTTTTTTTTATTTTAAAGACCAGACAGGGGTGCCTGGGTGGCGCAGTCGGTTAAGCGTCCGACTTCAGCCAGGTCACGATCTCGTGGTCCGTGAGTTCGAGCCCCGCGTCAGGCTCTGGGCTGATGGCTCAGAGCCTGGAGCCTGTTTCTGATTCTGTGTCTCCCTCTCTCTCTGCCCCTCCCCCATTCATGCTCTGTCTCTCTCCCAAAAATAAATAAAAGTTGAAAAAAAATTTTTTTTTTAATAAATAAAATAAAGACTAGACATTTTAGGGCGCCTGGGTGGCTCAGTCGGTTGAGCGTCCGACTTCGGCTCAGGTCATGATCTCAGGGTCCGTGAGTTCGAGCCCCGCGTCGGGCTCTGTGCTGACAGCTCAGAGCCCGGAGCCTGCTTTGGATTCCGTGTCTCCCTCTCTCTCTGCCCCTCCCCTGCTCATGCTTTGTCTCTCTCTGTCTCAAAAATAAATAAAACATTAAAAAAAACTAAAAAAAAAAGACTAGACATTTCCATTTCATGCATTATGATAGACAAAATATCCTAAAAACAGGTCAGCTAATAACACCTGGGTGCAAAATTTAAAACATCCATTTGGTTACATTGCTGCTGTCTTAATAAAATTTTCAGCAATGAAAAATGTGGGAACATGAATCTATAAGATGTTAAGTGGACACTGAAGCTTAAGTTCTAAGAGTGATTGGTTATTTCTGGAAATCTAGAGCCTTGGGCTTTCAATGTGATGTTTAAGGCACAGAAGACAAGACCTGGGGGCTTGGAAGAGAGCATTTCCCTTAGAGCCAAAATCTCTAAGGTCCACCACCTCAGTGAAAGGGCCAACTATTAAAAACTAAATAAAAATTGTCCCCCTAAAGGAGACGAGATACTTAAATTTATCTGCCTCGACATCTGGATGTAGTGGGAAGAAAAAAAATCCCCTGAATATTCATAACCACAGGCCAGTCTTCATGCAGGTTTAGAATTCAGATTTGTTCTGTCTACTTGGTCCAGGAAATTGAAATTGAAAACTTATTCAAGCTGGTCTTGTATTTTTCATTTACTGTTTTACTCTATGCCAAATTGACTCCAGAAGAAACGGAAAATCTAAATAGATCTATAACTCTTTAAGACATTGAAATTGGGGTTTTAAATCTTCCCATAAAGAAAATGCTAGGCCTGGGGGCACCTGGATGGCTCAGTCGGTTGAGTGTCGGACTTCAGCTCAGGTCATGATCTCACGGTTTGTGGGTTTGAGCCGCGCATCAGGCTTTGTGCTGACAGCTCAGAGCCTTCTTCAGATTCTGTCTCCCTTTCACTCCGCCCCTCCCCCACTCACACTTTTTCTCTCAAAAATGAACATTAAAAATTTTTTAAAAAAGAAAATGCTAGGCCCGAATCGATTGACAGATGAGGTTACTGAACACTCAAGGACTAATAAATTCCAAGCTTAAACTCTTAATGAATAGAAAAAAGGGACCACTCCTCAGCTATCTTTTAAATGAATGATTCACATACAATATCGTATTAGCTTCAGGTGTACAACAAAGTGATTTGATATTTATATACGTTATAAAATGGTCACCACTGTAAGTCTAGTTACCACCTGTCACCATGCAAAGTTGTTAACAATGTTATGGACTGTATTGCCTATGCCTTACGTTATATCCCTGGGTCTCTTTTATTTTATAACTGGCAATTGCACCTCTTAATCCCCTTCACCCATTTCATCTATTCCCCAACTATTTTATAAAGCTGGTGTAACCTTGGTAACACAACCAGAGAGGGTTAATATAAGAAAAGACAATTATGGGCCTATTGTACATGTGAACAGATAGAAAACTCTAAAGAAAATGTTAGCAATCTGAAACCTGTGACTTATAACAAAGATATTGTATTCATCATGGCCAAATTGAGTTTACCCCAGGAATACAAGGCTGGCTTAACTTTTGAAAGTCTAATGTTAGGGGCACCTGGCTGGCTTGGTTAGTAGAGCATGCAACTCTTCACCTCAGGCTCATGAGTTCAAGCCCCATGTTGGGCATGGAGCCTCCTTCAAAGAGAACAAGCAAGGGCACCTAGGTGGCTTAGTTGGTTAAGTGTCCAACTTCCACTCAGGTCATGATCTCACGGTTCATGAGTGCAAGCCCTGCATAAGGCTCTCTGCTGTCAGGGCAGAGCCCGCCTCGGATTCTCTGTCCCCCTCTCTCTCTGCACCTTCCCCGCTCATGCTCTCTCAAAAATAAATAAACATTTAAAAATAAATGAAAACAAAAGCATAAGTGAGACAAAGATGGCCGCTATTGTCACTTTCAACACTTTGCTGGTTATCCTAGGCGGCACAGAAAGACAAGGAACTAAAGCTTTTCTCTTTTGCAAACTATATGGTTGTCTTTATAGAAACCCAGCAAAGTCTATGGTCTTATAAGTAGTTCAGCAGGTTGCTTATTAGATCAATATGCAAAATAATTGTGATCCTTCCTATTGGTAATAGATAAAAAATATAAAAATACCATTTACAATGGCAACAGGAAATATGAAGTACTAAGGAATAAATCTAGTAAAAGTGACTGACCAAAATGGAAAAGATTATAAACTTTTATTGAAATACATTTAAAGAGATTGATAATGGAGATACACCATTTTTATGGGGAGAAAAATTCAATGTAAGAAAAATCAGTTCTTCCCAAATGAATCTCTCAGCTCAGTATAAGCCTAGTAAAAAAACTAGTAGACATCAAGAATTTTTTTAAATGTTTACTTATTTTATTTTTGAGAGAGAGAGAGAAAGAGCATGAGTTGGGGGAAGGTCAGAGAGAGAGAGAGAGAGGGAGACAGAGAATCCTAAGCAGGCTCCACACTGTCAGTACAGAGCCCAATGTGGGGCTCAAACTCACAAACCGTGAGATCATGACCTGAGCTGAAGTCAGACGCTTAACCTACTGAGCCACCCAGGTGACCTGTGACTTCCTTAAAAACCATAGTAAGTGAGCCAGTGTGCCACTGATGCAGGGATTCACAAACACACCGAAGAGACCCCCACACATGATAATATAATGACAGCAGTGACATCACAATCAGTGGGAGGAAAGGACAGACTCGTAGTCAGTAAAGAATGGCCATTCAAATGGGAAAAAGAAATTGGACCTTTGACTTATAAGCCCAGAACAACAACAAAAACCCAAACAAAGCATCCTGGTGGATTAAAGACCTAAATGTGAAATAGCTCCAGAAGAAAATACAGGAATAGGGAAGGATTTCCTAAATAAGATACAAAAACACAGACTACAAAGTAATAGGTAAAAGGTTTTATATTAAAAAATAAAGCATTCTGTTCTTTAAAAGATACATTTTTTTGGAAAACTTCTAAAAAGATACATAGTTTGATATGTAGGAATAAAATAATGCCTGGGATTTGCTTCAAAGGGACCTGGTGGGGAGGGACTGAGTGGGGTGATTGTTGGTATCAGCTTAGCTCTGAGTTGGTAATTGTTGAAGCCAGGTGATGGGTATATGGGTATTGGTCAAATTTTTCTCTTCGGTTTATGACATACAAAGAATTTCTCTCTCTCACACACACACACACACACACACACACACACACACACACACACACACACACACACACACACACCAAAACAGTTTAAAAAGAAAAGAATAGGATACCAGTTTTCACCCACCAGGTCAACAAACATTTTCCAATCCGATAATTCTAAGTGTTAGTAAGAACATGAAAAAGTGGGAAATCTCACACACTAATGGTGGGAACATACACTGACACAACCAATTTGGAAGAAAATTTGGCATTTTCTACCGAAACTGAAGATGTGTATTTACTACCCAGCTGTTCCCCATCTAGGCTAAGTCCTAGAAAATCTTGCTCATGGAAACACGCACAAAAATGTTCATAAACTCATTGTTTTTACTAGCAACAAATGGCAAACAACCAAATGTCTGTTTGTAAAGGAATGTGTGGCTAAATCGTGGTATGTTTACATAATAGAACCCTAGTGAAGTTCCTGGTGTTCGTTACATGCATCCACATGGATAAATCTTAACATGGTTAAAAAAAAAAAAAGAATTTGTAGAATACGAACATTATAATACCACTAGATACAGTACAAAACCATGTAAAAGTAAATATGTTCTCAGGGATGTATACGTGAAAAGCTAACAATGATGAATTCAAAATTCAGAAGGGTGATTGCTTCTGATGGGAAAAGGGAGGAGAATGTAATTAAAGGCACAAAGGGAGTACCATAGGGATTGTAAGGTTGGGCTTCTTAAGCTGAGTGGAATATACAGGAGTGTACATTATATTCTTTAGTCTTTTTGTATGTAATAAAATAATGCATAATGAAAATAGAAAATGTTTTCACAACATATACAAATGTCAAATCATGTTTTATACCTGAAACTAATGTTAATATATTAATTATATCTCACATATATATATATACGTATATGTGTGTGTGTGTGTGTGTGTGTGTGTGTGTGTGTGTGTGTGTATATATATATATATATATATATGAATTTTTCCAGTAAAAGGAGGGGACGTGGTAGGGAGAAGTGAGAGAAGTGGCACAAAAGTACACATCAGGGGAATGTATTCGAAATTCATTTCGGTTCAACAACAGACTTATTGAGAACAGGTGAATGAAACCTTGTCCTACAAGGCCCACAGTCATCTGCCGGAAGAAGACAGCTCATCTGTCTCAGTGCAGACGTAAAGAAGCTTGTAAAAGCTTGGCTTCTAGTCAGACCTTTGATGAGGCCCCCATGAGTCAGAGCATCGGTGGGTGGGCTTCTGACCCAGGTGCAGGGTCTGAGCTTCTCCTTGCCTCCACCCCTGCTGCTCCCTGCCACCTCCTGTCTATTCAGAATGGTTTCTAGATGTGTCTTAATGACACGTGCAATAAAAATTCAGGACAGCACTGAATGCATCTTTCGTGTAGATTTCTGAAGTGAACAACGTCCCTGGGAAAGAGAAGGGCAGTAGTGTGAGTGTGAAGGATCGGTACCTGTTGCTTTCTCCTGATGCCAGGCAACTGGGGACACCATCCCCTCTGAAGCATGCGGTGTAGGCTTCTAGCCCACGAATCAGGTAAGTGACCTTTCCAGGGGGAGATGTAGGCATGTGCCGGGGCTTCATGTGTCCAGTTGGGCCGGAGGCAAAACACTGGTGATCATCGTGGTATCAGCACCTCCCACCACCTACAATTTCTGGCTTCCCCATGGCCTTCCTGGGGAGTCCCCAGTTTCCTCATGCCTTCCTCGGGGGGAGTCCCCAGCTTCCCCATGGCCTTCGTGGGGGAGTCCCCGGTAATGGGTGCCTGATGGGCAATCTGAGCCCAGGATCACATACAAAGTGCTACAGACTGGTTCCTTACACCTCGTCACAGCTGCCGAAATCCAAGACCCTGTGAGACCCTGGGCTCTCTAACTCGATTTTGCGGCTTTGCTCCAACTTTCTGGGTCCCATGGTGATAGAAGTGTCAGCTGATGGTCTGCAGATCTGAAAGAGACCAAACAGAATGGCAGGGCTTGTCACCCTTCCCAGACCCCAGCATCTGCTTCCCGCAGTGGGTCCTGCCACTTCTACCTTTTATCTATTTCACTTTCCAAACCCACCGTAATAGCAAGTCCCCACCCCCAGATACACAATTCTTTCCTATTATTTTGTACCACTGGCCCTCCTGGCATTTTCCTGGGCCTGGGGGAACATCTCCAACGTGACTTCAGAGAGAGAAACCATTAATACCTACTACTATTAATACCTATAATGATAATGGCTATTTTCTGAAGACTTGACAGGTGCTAGGCCCTGCCCGTTATGAGTACTTTACATGTGCCAGGCCATAGTCTGAACACTTGTTTAGTATATATACTCCTTTAGGTATATACTGTCCTCACTTTACCAGTGGGGAAACCCAAGTACAGAGGACTTGGAATAACTTCCAGCCTTTTCCAGAGCCTGCATCTTGAGCTACTGGGCTACAGTGACTGTCTCCTAAAAGCCGAAGTCGATCAGATGCTGTGGCCGAAGCCACCTTCCCATTCTCCCTTACCCCTAATAGCTTACAACGCATGACAGCTTCCTTGACTTGGCGAAAGCCACCGTCGGGGCCCCGGCCGTCCACGAAGTACATGAACCGGAGCTCAGCGGGGTAGGCAGCTCTGGCGAGGCCTGACATCAGGGGGATGGTGCGGCCCTCCGCCCCTGGAGCCTCACTCAGGGCCTGCAGCATCTGGTACTTGCACCACGGGTCCTGCAGGAAGCCTGGGGTGATGAGCAGCACGCGGCAGTGACTGTTGCTCAGTGCCTGGCACAGCTCGGACACGATGGCGCCGCCTGGGGTTGCATCCCGCAGCTGCAGGAAGCAGCGCAGGCTGGCGGTGCTGCCTTCCAGGTAGGAGACCAGCTCCTGGGCGGCTGCCAGGTCCTCCTCGCTGTGGCACACACAGACATCGTAGTCCTTGCTCCAGCGGCCGCTGCTGCCGCTGCTGCTGTCGCTGCTGCTGGCGACCACGTGTGTTGGAGACGAGGTTGAGCTGAGGCCCAGGCGTGGGGGGTGGTCCTGGGAGCTCGGCTGTGAGACGTCACTGGAGGGGCCGTCTGAGGATTCCAGTATCTTCTTGGGCTTCTTCGACAGGGCCTGCCTGAACCAGTCTGTGGGGAGAGAAACACCACTCAGGCTTGGTATTCTCACCAGGCTGCCCTGGACAGAGCCCAGCCCAGCACCCTGCTCTGGCCACCGTGCCACATTGCTCTCAGAGACCTACTGCTCTATTTCGTACATCCTGCAGGACTGGCTTTAAGGTCCCATTATCTTCAAACGTTTTGGAAGTCACGAAAACTCTGGCTCTTTTATAAGTCATGAGAATGTAATGAACGGCATGCCGACTAGTGAATAATACTGTCTTCCGTATTTGAAAGTTGCCAAGAGAGGAAACCTTAAAAGTTCTCATCACAAGAAGAAAAGTTCTGTAATTATCACTGGTAATGGATGTTAACGAGACTTCTGGTGATCGTTTCGCAATATGTACAAATATTGAATCATTATGTTGTATACTTGAAACTAATATAATGTATGTTAATTATACTTCAATAACCAAATTTAAAAAAATCCTTTGTATAACAACAATATGAAAATTAAAAAGGGAAAGGAAATAACTCTGACTGTTTCACCCACCTGATTAGGAAAGATGGCTTTGCCCTATTCCAGGCCCTTCGATTTCTGGTACCCTCCACTTACGCTACCCAGAACTTCCCGCTAGCGCTGACTAGCCAACCGTCTGCTGCTAGTCTGTAAGTAGAGCTGTGTTAAGCTGGGAAGAATCAATCAGTTCCCAAACCCACTCTCTGCACTGAGGGGAGGTGGATTTAGATTAAGGTGGGCAACCCATTATGGGAGGGAAAGAGGGGAGGGATTGGCATCTGTCTGGCCCGGAGGAATCCCAGAGTGTTGTTGCTAAGTGGTAAAACAAAAGCATGGGAGAGGATTACTACTCAGAGCTCCTAAAGAGCAGAGAGCTTAGTGATTCACAACCTACACTTCAGAGCCAGGCGTAGATTTGATTGTGGACCTACTGCTTGCTTTCTACATGACCCTACGCAAGTCAGTCTCTGTCTCCATTTCCTCACCTGGAAAATGGGTTCATTTTAATTGCTGTTGAAGATTAATGAAGATAATGCCGTGTCTGGGATATTGTAAGTATTCCATAATGATTTCAGCTCAGCTTCTCCAGACTCTTTAAAAAAAATTATTTTTTAATGTTTGTTTATTTTCGAGAGACAGAGCAAGAGCAGGGAAGGGACAGAGAGAGCAGGAGACACAGAATCTGAAGCAAGCTCCAGGCTCCGGGCTGTGGCCCGACGTGGGGCTCAAACTTGCAAACTGCGAGATCATGACCTAAGCCGAAGGGAGACGCTCAACCGACTGAGCCACCCAGGCGCCCCTCCAGCTTTTCATAGGGACAGAAAGTTTAATGTTCTGGAGATTTGTTTTCTCACTCTGCCTGGCTCCTTCTTCTGATAGGTTCTGAAAGACTTAGATGACAGAAACATGATGCTAGGTGCTCAGCACAATGGTTTCCAGGCTAGGAAATGAGCCCAGCACGCGTGCAAAAGCTGTGAGCCCATAGGACTGAATGTTCTATGATGCGTGCCTCTCTCCTCACTCACCACAAAGCTTCTGGGCTCTGAGGTCAAGGCAGGAGGCCTCTATCTTCAGCCTCCCTAGCATTTCCTGCTGCATTTGGCCCAGGCAGCCTTCCACCTCGCTAACACTCATAGCTGTGAACAAGAACACAATTAGGAGTCTATTTCCACTCACCAGCCATCTTGCCCAGAGGCTTCCTGGACCGGGAGCGAGGAGCTGAGGAGGTTGATGATGCCATAGTGTTGGGCTCAAAACTAACCCCATGAGACCAGGCATTGGTAAAGTGGGAGAAGGGAGGGGACTCAGTCTTGATCTTATGGAACAGCCATCCTATAAGAGACAGAGAGAGAGGATCACAAAAACTGGTCTTACCTTACTCCTAGTCCCAGCGTGTGGGCTCTAGATGTTCTCTCCTAATGCCCGACAGAGGCTCAATCTCTCTAGCCCTCATCCCTATCCCTTATCCACCACTGTGACTGGAGCTGGCTTCCAAAAAAAAAAACCCAGATCTGTGTGATGTGGTGAGACTTAACAGAGTAAGGAGTTCAGCATGACCAGTTGAGGGATTGTCCTGTGCTGCCTCTGGCCAGGAGCACCCTGGGGATGTGGGGAAGGGTGGCTGGCACGAAGCCGCCATGGTAAGGACTTCCTGTGTTGGAAGAGCGGGGAAAGATGGCCTGGGAGGAGGAGGACCCTGGGCTCATAGGAACACATAACTCTCAGGTCATCCTAAATACCCCAGAAATCAACCTGAAGACTGGCAGAGCAAACTCCACAACTAAAGGGGGAGAAAAGGCCACAAGAAGAAGGTAGGAAGCATGGAGATGTGGTTTGGGGTGGGAGGGAAGGGATCCTGGCTGCTGCAGAGGGGAGGGAGCTGCAGTCACGGAGAACCGTGTGAGAGAGAGAAGTTCTAGGAGATGAGTGTCAGGAGACAAGTTGAACGTTTCCCCAAAGCCATTGGCTACTGAAGCAAGAGGAGCTGAATTTCATGAGATTTTGCAACCAGCAGGGCTTTAAGGCTGGAGTTGTAAAGGTTGGAGGGCTTGGCTGGGATAGAGCCAGAGGGCGCTGCCCTGCTCCCAGTGGGCAAGTAAGCAGGAGAGCAATAGGGAAAAGTGATCTGAAGAGGGCCTGGGGCACACAAGAGAGATCATTGCTCTTCTCCTGAGAGGCAGTTCACAGAGAACTTTCCTGGAACAAAGGAGCCAGCCAGCACCATTTCCCTCCTCCTCCCTCCTCCCCCTTACCTCAGCGTAAACAGGGAACCACTGGGGGAGGCAGCCCAGAGGGACACTGGCTGCCTAACCTGCTTATGCCTAGCCCCGCTCTCCTGCTCCTCCCTTGCTGTCTGGTGGGACTGCCCCACTCCAGCAAGCATGACTCAGTCCCAGCACAGGGGGCAGAGGGCCCCTGTCCCAGAAGACCACCACAAACCCTTGCCCACACCACATCTCCTGACCAGAGAGTTCTGCCGGGCTTCTTCGGCTCTATTAGAAGTAGTATCAGGTCTCATTTAACAAGCAGACCTAGTTAAAACTTACCATGCTCAGATCAGGACCAAACACTGCCCACTGCAGGCAAGGAGAGCTTCTGCAGACAACTGGCTTGAAGGACAGAGCAGCCAAAACACAGCAGCAGAGTGCATGTAGCACACACCAGAGACCCTCCCTGAAGCCCCAGGCCCTGGGCACTCCATGACCTCTTCTACACAAGGCCATTGCTTTCAGGAGCAGCAGACATAACCTGCTCTTCTAACACAGAGAAGAAGGCAGAGACTTAGACAAAATGTGAAAATGGAGGAATTTATCCCCAATGAAAGAACAAAATAAGGCCAGAGCCAGAAATCTAAGAAAAACAGGTATAAGTAACCTGTTTAATGGGGAATTTAAAGTAATGCTCATAAGAGTGCTTGGTAGACTTGAGGAGAAAATGGAAAACTTCAAGGAGACCCTTACCACAGAGAGAAGAGAGTTAAAAAAGAATCAGATATTTTAAAAAGTGCAATAAATGAGATTGAAAACACGCTTGATGCAATGAACGGCAGAATGGAAGAAGCAAAAGAACAAACTAGTGACCTAGAAGATAAAGTAGTAGAAAGTAATCAGCTGAACACAAGAGAGAGAAGGATTATGCAAAACAAGAACAGACTTAGGGATCTCAGTGACTTCATCAAACATAATAACATTCATATAATAGGGATCCCAGAGGGAGAAGAGAGAGAAAAGGAAGCAGAAAATATATTTGAAGAAATAGTAGCTGAAAACTTCCCTCATCTGGAGCAGGAAACAGATATCCATATCCAGGAGGCAGAGAGAATCCCCAACAAAATCAACCAAGGCATGTTGTAATTAAACTGGCAAAATATAGCAATAAGGAAAAAATCTTAAAAGCAGCAAGACCAAAGAAGATGGTTACTTATAAGGGAAAACCCATAAGGCTAGCAGCAGATTTTTCAGCACAAACTCTGCAAGCCAGAAGGTATGATATATTCAAAGAGCTGAGTGGGAAAAATCTGCAGCCAAGCATACTCTATCCAGCAAGGCTAACATTCAAAATAGAAGGAGAAGTAAGTTTTACAAACAAGAACTTCCTGTGCCAGTGCTGAAATGGGAGAAGGACAGGTGCTATTTGGACAAGTAATTATGCATCCAGGCAGGCAGATGCTGAAGAGCAGAGAAAGAGCACATGCAAGAAACCTTGGGAGACTTTTCCGCCAGTCTGCCTTCCCTTGAATGACTCCCTCCTTCCACCTATCCATCCAAACACCCATGCCTCCTTCTCTCCCCCCTGCTTCCTCCCTGCTTCCTCCCCGCTGCTTCCCCACTCCCTGAGCTAGTGTGGCATAGTGGTGAAGTCTACAGACTCTGCAGGTAGAGTGCCTGGATGCTTACCTCTTATTAACTGTGGCCTTTGGCAAGATACTTAATCTTGCTAAGCTTCGGCTTCTCCATCTGTGAAATGAAAAGAAAACTAGAACTGCTCAGCTTTATTGTGAAGACCACATGAGACAATTTATGTAAAGTGCTAATGGTTCATGGCATAGAATGTTCAGAAAATAGTGTGGGTTAGCATGTATTTAAAACAATCTAGATATTGGAGGGATACATGATGTTCACAGTTTAGAAGACTTAGTAATGTAATCAATTTTCCCCAAACTAATCTTAAGATCAGTGTTATCCAAATTCTGGAATTTGCAGCAGGGAGTGGGGGAGGGGGGTGTGGGACTGTCAGTCTGCTTCTAAATTTAAAGGGATATGCAAAGGATTTATAACCTCTTCAATGTTTCCTGGGATTGTCAAAAAAGCAGAGGCTTGCTTTCTCACTCCAACCTATCTGCAGAGGTCAAAACAGACTCCTGGGAAATCAAAGAGAACTTGTCCTATGAAACACAAAGTAGAAGATAAGTTTCCCAATTGAACGGATGTTATTCAATATTGAGGATGATGCTCTGTTCCTTGCTAAATGCTGAACACCTTTATGCCAAGCCAATGACTATCAGACAAGATACTGATGATTCATGAAACTGTATCAAAGTTCAAAAAAGAGAGGGAGAACTTAAACGCCTGCGGCAAGAGGGGCAGAAAGAAGAAGTGGAATGGGCACAGGAACCAGAGACATACCGAAAGAGAAGAGCAGTTGGCTGCTAAGCTAGCCAAGGGGACACAAAAAAGGTGAAGTCTGGCATGTATATGTGGTTCTTTTGCTACCTCATATTCTTTGGATTTCAGAGAGCCTCAGTGGTGCACTGAGGTTAAGGCAGTGCCTGATGGCCACTGATTTTGAAGTCCTTTTCCAGGTCTGGGGTTGCTGTCCCGCAACATCTTCATTTCAACCAATCCAGATGTCCTTTCTCTCCCGCAGTAGTAGACAAAATGTCTCTGGGCTTTTATATCATTTCAACAGTTTGTCAATTTTGTTTTAATTTTAAAATTCATTATGTGGCCTCGATAGACTTGTAAACTAGAGAATCATTTGATATTTTTAGTGATAGCTTAAAGGTTAGAAATTAACATAATGCTTTAATCTTAACACATGTAGATCTAAAAGTTTCAGTTTCTCATGTTATGACATGACTTGGCCATACATGCTGATTTTTGGTAATTGCCTTTTTTTCATTGCTTGGTTAAGAAATCCAATTGCCCAACCGCATATGCCACTGTAAGTGGGTTGGTACAAGCCCTTTGACTAACGTTATGGACAAGTTTAAACACAGGAAATAACAGCATCTTTGACACAGGATAATTCAGCAAGATGGCAGACAAGTTCCCTTAACCCTACACACTGTCTACTTCCTGGAATCTAACTCCCCACTACACCTTTCTTGTTATCTTTCAGTTCTTGTGCAGCTGAAGTGGTGAGGCTATCACACTTAAATATGCTTTAATCTTTACAAGATTTAGTACTAGTAATATATATTGAGATAGAGGAGACATCGTTGTCAAACAGATGAGCAGATAACGAACCCAAATCTCCAAAAGGAGGGTCTAATCACTAGCTCTGTCTGTTTAGGGACTGGTTGTATTGTCTTACATGTAGTCACTTTCCCTTGTGCTTTTTACAAAATTCACAAAAGGATAGACACCTAAGTACCTACCTTGTAGATAATTACAAAGTCTTGATAAAAAAAAAATTAGTGAAAACTTCTTTTAAAAAAGCAACGGTATTATATCTTTAGTGGTTTTTATTTTTATTTTTTTAAGTTTATTTATTTATTTTGAGAGAGCGTATGAGCAAGGGGGAAGCAGAGAGAGAGGGAGGGAGGGAGAGAGGGAATCCCAAGCAGGCTCCACACTGGCCATGCAGAGCCTGATGCAGGGCCTGAACTCAACAAAAAACCATGAGCTCATGACGGGAGCTGAGGTCAAGAGTTGGATGCTTAACCGACTGAGCCATCCAGCCCCCCTTCCCTTTAGTGTTTCTTAGAATCCTTTTGCAACGTTATATGTAGAATGTGTTATGTGAGGAAAAATATGAAGTTTCACTGTACAAAATACAAAGTGTATTAAGTATTATCCAATACCCTATTGGGTCTCCAATATCTATTGGTATAGGGAATGTACTGAAACATAGGAAGACATATGATTACGATATGTATCTTACATTTCTGTTAGGCTGGACTCACTTTCTATGGTGGACAGGATAATGGTCCCTGAAAGATGTCCACATCCGAGTCCTTAGAATCAGGGAATATGCTACCTTACATGGCAAAAATAGATTTTGCAGATTAGATTAAGGATCTTGAGGGGTGCCTGGGTGGCTCAGTTGGTTATGCATCTGACTCTTGATTTTAGCTCAAGTCATGATCTCCGTTGGTGAGATCAGAGCCCTGCATTGGGCTCTGTGCTAATGGTGCAGAGCCTACTTGGGATTCTCTCTCTCTGCCCCTCCCTTGCTTGCTCCCTCTCTCTCTCTCTCTCTCTTTCTCTCTCTCTCTCTCCCCCCCTCTCTCTTTCAAAATAAATAAATAAACATTAAAAAAAAAAGGATCTTGAGATGTTAAGAGTATCCTGGATGACCCTAGAGGGGAAGGCTGAATGTTATCACAAGGGTCCTTATAAGAGGAAGGCAGGAGTGGGGGGAGGGTTAGAGGAGAAGTGACAACAGACGCAGAGGTCTGTGTGACATGGGGCCATGGGCGGAGAATGCAGGCAGCCTTTAGAAGTGGAAAAGGCAAGTACATGGATTTTTCTCTAGAGCCTCCAGAAGAACATAGCCCTGCCGATCCATTTTAGACTTCTGATTGCCGCCACTGTAAGCTAATAAATGTATGTTGTATTAAGTCACTACGTTTTTGGTGATTTGTTACAGAGCAGTTGGAAACTACTGCACTATCCTTGATTGTATGTCAGGCCGTGAATGGAGCAAGCGTCGAATCTTAAGACTGGTCTGTTTAAAGGTTTAAATTGTTTGAGTTTTTCACTTCTTTGATGAATAAATTATCATCACATTTCACTTGATTTGGACTTTAAATAAAGAATATCAGTTTCAAAGGCTAAGTTTGCTTCTCAAACATTTGCTAAAACACTTGTCGGGCAGGATTTGTTAGGACTTAAAGGACACTGTCACTTAAAAGTGCTCAATTTAACAGGGCACCTGGGTGGCTCAGTCGGTTGAGCAACTAACTCTTGATTTTGCCTCAGGTCATGATCCCACTTAAACACACACACACACGTATGTGTGTTGAGCCCCATGTCAAGCCCCACGTCGAGCCCACATCAGTCTCTGCGCTACACGTGGAGCCTGCTTAAGATTCTGTCCCTCTCCTCCTTCCCTGCTTGTACTCTCTCTCTAAAAAGAAACAAAAACAATAAAGTGCTCAACTAAATTGTTAATAGCTTGATAGACACAATATTGTGTTTCTCAGAGTGATTTATAGAGCAGTTACTTTATATATGATGTGTACTGTCTGTATATGCATTTATAAGTATATATACACACTACGTATATTTACCATATAAGATGTGTACATGTGAGGTGCCTGGCTGGCTCAGTCCGTAGAGCGTACAGCTCTTAATCTTGGGGTCATTGGGTGTAGAGCCCCACATTGGGTGTAGAGATTACTTTAAAAAAATATATTTAAAAATATGTACACGTGAATGTAGCATGTATATGAATATTGTGTCATACTTATGTATGTGCATACGTGTGCGTGTTTAATCGTAACTTAGCAGACTAGAGAGAGACTCCCATTCTGACTTTGAAGAATTTACCAGGAAATTGCAGGCAGCCTCTAGAAGCTGAGTGATCTCTACAATTAACCTCTAGAAGAGAAGTGATCTCCAGGTGACAGCCAGCAAGAAAACCTTAGACCCGCAGTCTTAGAACCGCAAGGAGATGAATTCTGCCAACAAAGAACAACCTGAGGGAGCTTGGTAGTGGATCTTTCCCCATTTGAATCCCCAGTGGCACTGTGGCCCCAGCTAAAACCTGGAGGTAAGGCAGGTGAGACCCCAGCAGAAGAATCAGCCAAGACTTGCCTGGGCCCTTGACCCACAGAAACTACCAGATAATAAATAAGTGTTGGTTTAAAATGCTGAACTTGTAATAATTTGTTACCCAGCCCAGAAAACAAATACAATGATGGTTTAAAATGCCAGTTCCTGTGCCCCACCCCAAATCTACTGAATTAGATCTCTGGGTGTAAAACTTGGGAAACTGGTTTTTAAACAGTAACTTCGGAAGACTTGAAAAATGCCAAAAAAGTACATACATGCGCACGTGTGTGTGCATTTAAAAGCACCTGTTTTTTAAAATTTAATTATAAGTCAAAAGTATTCTAACTGGTTATTCAAATCTAAAACTTTAGCTGAAGTTCAGCCACGTGGGAACATATCTTACTGATCAAACATGAGTGGGAAACATAATAATGTCTTTTGCAAAAAGTAGCAACTCGGTTTTGGGAAAACACCAGTTTCTTAGTTTTAAAAAATTCTCTTTGTTTTGAAACTATATCATATAGGTACTAAAGCCCACTTTAACTAAAATAAGGTGAATTTATTTTGTATTTACTTTGCTGTAGATCTGATGTAAATATGCAGGCATTGAATGTAACATAGATTGTGTCAGCAGTAAATCGGTGGATGGATACAGTTTACAAATTATGCCAATTACATACCCTTTTACATTAGTACTCTATTGAGCTTACAAAATGACTGCTTTTTATATATTTCTTAAAAAGGCTTTGGGAGGAGTAGTTAAATAAAAAATACCTAAGATCTTAAAGAAGAGCAATGCTGAGAGCTTCCACCACCAGAGTAATAGAGATTATAAAGCAACCATTAAGGCAGCGTGCTAATGTGCACAAGGACAGGCAGACGATGGAAGAACAGGGTGTCCAGAAACAGACCCACATCTCTACCGTCTCCTGATTTATGACAAGGCTGACACCGCCATGCAGTGGGGAAAATTGTCTTTTTAACAGATGGTGCTGCATCAATTTTGATAGCCTTGTAGAAAAAAATAAATTTGACCCTATTTCACAGCACACAAAAAAACTTAATTTCAAGTAGATAGAAGTGAGAATAACCATAAAACTTTCAGAGGAGAATATAGGAAATTATCTTCCTGACTTCTTCTGATTTATTTAAAATTGTCATGGGGGCAGCTGGGTGGCTCAGTCAGTTGAGCGTCCGACTTTGGCTCAAGTCATGATCTCACAGTTCGTGAGTTCGAGCCCTGCATCAGGCTCTCTGCTGGCATGAAGAGCTCGCTTTGGATCCTCTGTCTCTCCCGCTCTCTGCCCCTCCTCCACAAGCTCTCTCTGTCTCTCTCTCAAAAATAAATAAAAAAAAAATTGAGATATAATTGACATATAACATAATAGTTTCAGATGCACAACATGATGATCCAACGTATGTATATATTATGAAATGGTCACCGCAATAAATCTAGCTAACATCCATCACTACATAATTACACACTTTTTTCTTGTAACGAGAATAAATCCACTCTCTTAGCAACCTTCAAATATGCAATAGTTTTTTTGACTCTAGTAACTATGGTGTAAATTTACATCCCCAGGATTTATTTATTTTATAACTGAGTTTGTACCTTCTGACTACCCTCACTCATTCTTCCCACCCACCACCCCTTGGGTAAGTAAAGAGTTTTTCAACTGGCCATAAATAATACAACCATCCAGAAAAAAAAAAAAAAAAGATACACTGGGCAACATTAAACTGAACTTCTGTTCATCAAAAGATATCATTAAAAGAGTGAAAAGGCAACCTCCTGAGAGAGAGAGAAGATATTTTAAAAATACATATGCCATAGGGGCGCCTAAGTGGCTCAGTCGGTTAAGCATCCGACTTCAGCTCAGGTCATGATCTCACGGTTCGTGAGTTCGAGCCCCGTGTCGGGCTGTGGGCTGACAGCTCAGAGCCTGGAGCCCACTTCAGATTCTGTGTCTCCCTCTGTCTGCCCCTCCGCTGCTTGCACTCTGTCTCTCGCATTGTCTCAAAAATAAATAAACATTAAAAAAGCACATATGCCATAAATATTTCATATCCAGAATATTTAAGAAGTCTTACAAACTAGGAAGAAACAGAGACAATCTACTGACAAAATGCGTAGAAGAATTGAACACTTTGCAAAAAGGCTATCCAAATGCCCAGCAGACACATGAAAAGATGCAGATTCATTAGTCATAAGAGGAATGCAAATTAATACCTCAGTGCAACACCACGGCCCATGCACTGAGCAGAGTGGCTACAATGAAAAAGAGGGACCATATCGCGTATTGGTGAAGGTGTGGAGGAATAGGAACTCACACTGCAGATGGGAGTGTAAATTCGTACAACCACTTTGGAAAACCATTTGGCACGAAACTATGCTAAAGCTGAACACACCCAGCAATTCCACACTTAAGAACATTCCTATCAGAACTGCTTATGTTCACCTGAAGTACGAGAATGCCTCGTGGCACTATTTCAAAAAATAAAAAAAAACAACCCGAACGGGAAACAACCCGTGTCCGTCCATCCAAGTGTCCAGCAGAAAGTAGAAATAAATTGTGCTCTCTCTGTACAGTGCAAAATTATGCATCAGTTGAGAGTAAATGAATTACTGCTAAATGCAACACGGCTGCATCTCACATACTGTCCACGTGTCAAAAGTTCAAAACCAAGTAAAACGATTTTATGATGTGAGAAGCCAGGATAATAGTTGCCCTTAGACGAAAGTAGCC